CCAGCACAAACACACATGTGGCATGCACACATGTAGATATACACAGAAATACATAAATAAAAACAAAAAAATAAAATAAAGCCAGATATGGCTCTGCCTTTGCTCTCAGTACTTGGAAGACAGAGGCAAGTGGATCTCTATTCTAGTCTACGGAGTGGGTTCCAAGCCAGCCAGGACTACATAGTGAGACCCTGTCTCAAATGTTTAACTTAAAAATTAAAAAAAATAAATAAATAAGTCTTTACAATATTCAATACGCTCTGCGGCCACAGATTGGCAGATGGCACTCACACATCTAGATGATTCAAAGCACACCTGAAAGTCGACAGTAAAACCCAGCAACCAACCACAAAGAAAAGACTGAAGCCGGGGAGTAACTCGGTTAGAAAAGGGGATGGAGCCTGCTGTCTTGCTCTGTGCAGAAGCTGGCCCCGCCCACCTGCCCCAGGCTCTTCCCTCCCCACCCACCCACCCACTGGCGAAGAGGCCCTGGTGGCTGGCCGGCTGCAAAGGAGAAAGAACACACCGATTCTTTCTCAGATTCTTTCTCACACACGTCTCCTCACCGCAGAATCTAAAGCATCGTCTTGGCAAGAAACCGGAACAGGGGAAAAGCTGTCAGGAAAGATTCCTACAAAGATCTCAGGGACTAAGAGCCAAGGAATAAAGTGATGACTTTGACTCTGTAAGATAAAAACGAATTTAATTCTCTCTACCCCGGCCTCTGCCATCTTTTCATTATAAATTAAGGCAGTGGGGGAAAAAAAAAAGCCTCTCTCTTTCAATAACTCTGGCTCCTTCAGCGAAGGATGTTTTAGGCCCTGGAACGTAATTAAAGTGATATTGTATTCCTTTTATTCTCATGATTATAATAATACATAGAATTCTGCAGATGCTCCAACACCATTAAAACAAAGACAGATGGCTGACGTTTCTGCTGGAATTCAAGTCCATGGGAGCATTCTTACCACAGCACTGTCAAAGACACGGACCTCGAATAAAATGCAGAGGACTTTTACTAGATATTACCGATGGTTACTCTTAGAGCAATATTTTAGCACAACTTGAGCATATTGGTCATCTTGTATTTAAGAAGTTTTGATGACCACTTTCCAAGACCTAGTTTTGAGTCTTTTATCATAAGGTCAACAGGGCTTCAGCCTTTCTCATGCAATCTGTGCCTCCATCCACAAAGCTGACAATAACAGCGCTGGCCATGTTGCTTTTTAGTAGAAAAACGCATCACCCAAGTGTAAGCATTAGGGAGTATCAGGCAACCCCAAAATGAGGATTTCTGTGGCAGGGTGGGGCTTAACAGGAAGCCGTGTACTTCAAAACACCACTGGACTGAACAACCAAGGCCATGCATACCCCATCCTACAGAAGGCTAAAGTACTAGGGCTACCTCAGGCAGCACCTGCCCCTACAGCAAGCTGGTAAGAACCATTGTGGGAAATATTGAAATGTGATTCACAGATGATTCGATTATTTTATTAGCGCCATAGTTCCTAAGGCTGGTGACTGTATTATAGTTACGAAAGGGAATGGATTCAGTCTTCATTTTCAATTGACACGTTATGTTTGCGTGTATTAATAGGGTACAACGCAGTGATTCAACACATAGGTACAATGAGCAAAGGTCAGACGGGGAAAACTGGGAGTTTCGTTCCCTCTTCTCAGGCCCCTGTACTGGCCACTCGACACTCTCCTAGCTGTTCTGAATACTCTACAGATTGCTGCTGATTGCAGTCACCCTGTTGCTGGCAGAAGGCCAGCCCCACTTCCTGCCACGGACATGCACTGTGTCTGGTCTCCATCCTCCCTCTAACCCTCCCACCCTGCTCTGCTCTTCATGATGACTCTTTCAGAGCCTGCAGGTGTGATCACATGTGGTATCAGGTCATGTGATGTCCCTCCAGCTCCAACCACACTGCTGAGCCTGTCTCTAGTCTTAGGAAACACACACACAGAAGCATTTAGGGTTTCAGGAGAACCCTTGATATTGTACAGTCTGCCCTCAAATGGCTTATGGACTAAAACACACAGAAAGAAATACAAAGAAACTGGGGTGAACTCTTCTCAATAGTCAACCCCTCTGAGTATATGCACACTCCTTATTGTTCGTGCTTTTCTTTAAGTTTGAAATGGAAATTTGAACAAGGCAGTTTAAAAACCTTGAGAATGCTTTCATGGTGACACCCTTTCCGTTCTGAGCTGAGAGGCGCTTTGCTGTATAGCTTTGAGGCATCAAAATGTCCCATTTGGAATCTGAGCTCTGCCACTCTTATGTTCTATGAACTCTGAGAGGCTACTCTATCATTGTGTGCTTCTTTTTCCTCATTGGTCCCAGTGGGCATGACTACAAGAACAGCCCCTTTGGGGCTCTACTTGAGAGGTGAATGAGGCTGACGGGGCGGGTCTTAGGGAAGCACCACATGGGGTTAGCTCTCAGGAAGTGGGCTTCACCATGCTCTTGAGGAAATGTTCCAGGGAAAGAGGAAGGAGCTCTCAGAGTCCAGGAGATTCTAACAGCAATTAACTGTGCAACCTTACTGACAAGTGACAAAGAGCCATAAGCTATTTATTAAACCAGCGTGACAGTATCCAAATGTAGACAGATCCAGAACCGTGGCCCGGAACAGGCAGATCACTTGTCTATTAAATTCGGACTGAAAGGAAATAGCACTGCAAAGTGGTTATAAATGAAAGACTCCAAAGCAAACATTATGAGTGTCTCTATTATACACAGAAAAATAAAACTAGACCTTTGCATCAAGGCACACACACAAATACATTTCAGATACTCCTCTTGAATAATGCAGTCCATTTAAATAAGGTGAGTTTTAAATGGGGGGGGTTGGGGGGAAGGTGAGGGGGACGGGAGGGGGGAGAACAAGGGAATCCGTGGCTGATATGTAGAACTGAATTGTATTGCAAAATAAATTAAAATAAATAAAAAAATACTAAAAAAAATGTTTATTAGGCAATATTCTAATTTACTAACAAACTACTTGTTGGCTAGTTTCTACCTAGTGCTTGGTCAGCTGACGCAACCCAGACCACCTGCTCAGTGGTAGCCCCGCCCACAGTGAATCCCTCCCACATCATCAACAACCAAGACAATTCCCAGCAGACATAACGTTGACCAATCTTCATTGAGATCCCCTCTGTGTGGAGCAACATCCTGTTAAATGCTCTGGGAAGCTTTTACCCCATTATTTCATTAGAGTAAATTCTTTACCTGGAATTTCTGGGTCAAAGGTTGTGAACAGCTTCTGTTCCCCCCCAAATGTCTCTGTGAAGTTGAATCATTAAGTCCCCCTAATGCCTGATTCTGAGTGTATATCACGAATCAGACACTGTGCTAAGAGAACAGAAGGTGGTAGCAGGGTTAATTCTCTCAGCAGCCCTGGGAAGCGGAATGGATCATTAGCCACAACTAACAGATGAGGAGACTGAGCAGAGGGAAGGCAAAGATCAGAGCCAAGAGTGACATTCTGGAAGTCTAGTACTAACCTCACGGTCCTCACCATTACACAAAAGCACTAAAGGGTGGGATGTCCGGGCCACAGAGTGTAAAAAGGCACCCAGAGATCCCAGTACCCAAGGTGGCTTTCCATACATCTGTGGGGACTGACTGAGGCAGTGTGTTAGCCAGTCCTTAGCACTCCAAAAGCACCAAGACATGCCACATGCTATTACCTCTTTCAGAGTTTGTCAGCCTGAGCATCTCCAAAGCTTATAGTCTGAATTCTTCAACAAATTGCCTGTTTATATATTTTTACTTTATCCATTGGTTTTCTTAAATTCACACTCCCCTCCCCAATTCCCTGGAACAGACTAATCTGTATTTCTGTTGGCCCAAAGCAGAAATTAGAGATTCTGCTGGCTTCTGGCCCTTTGCTTGGCAGGATCAGCGAGTTTTGCTGTCCTGAGCACTCTTCTTCACTGCTTGCTGGTTCCACATGTCAGGGACCCATGTCCACATGTCTGTCTTGACATGCTAATTCCCAAGACCCAGGTCTGTGCTGCCCCTGCCTGGCATGGGCCCACATGGAGGGCAGCTGTGGGAATCTTTCTATCTATGTTCAGGATTCAGGCCACACCTCCAGAGACAGGAGACTGTCAGGAGTCAGTCTGTTTAGCTTTCCGTTTTGTTTAGTTTTCTGGAAAAGGCATCTTGAAGCATAAGCTGCTGTCTTTCTAAAGAAACAGCAGTGGTGTGCTGGTGGACGTGAGCACAGCTGCCTTCCAAAGAACTAGCAGTTGACATCCAGTTTGCAAAGCCGACCTTCTCCCCGTCACTGCCACCCACGTCTCTGCATATTTCTAACAGCTTTGCTGTACTTTTCTCCAGTTCTCCGTATTTCCTCCTCTCTGTGCTTCTCTAGGTTTTTTTGTTTTGTTTTTGTTTTTCTTTCCTGTTGGGACCACTTTACCCCTGCCTCTCTCCTTCCTTCTGCCTTTCAGGGCTTAGCAATAAAGGTGATTTCTAAAAATAAAGATGCTCCCGGGTCCACTCCACACAGTCACCAGGCATGGGGCGGCGACACCTGCCTATCTCTATTGTGCAGTCACCTTGATTTGGGTCACTTAAGTTTAACTCAGTTCTCTTGCGAGCCTATGAAGTGAACATTATTATCTCCCATTTCATTAGGGTCAGAAACTGAAACTCAGAGTGTCAGAAGCACATCCCAGTTTGTAATGAACACAGCCACGGTCGCAGCAGATTGTTCTTAGATAGCCTGGCGCTCTCCCTCCACACCACCCCTCCTCTCCTCGCTCAGCCCAGCCAACATTTGTTTGGAGGTAGCATCTGAAATGAAATGGAGACGGCGCTCACAATCCCACCCAAGCCAGCAAATCCATCTATCCTGAGGGATGTGTCACGATTCAGACGTGAAGCCCGTGGCTGTTCAGTCTACAATTCATGCTCACGAGGCTCCCAGGCTAGCAAAGGTTAACACCCACGCCCACTTCCATCACCTGCCTTCACTTACCCAAGAGGAAGAGGAGGACTCTCAGTATTGGGACCCTAGAGTCATAGCGGTGTTCTGTCCTGGCTCCTGAGAGATCGTGCAAGTGAGCCTCATGACCCCAGGCTCCAGGGATGGGAGCCAAGCCCCACGTGACTGAAAAGGAAGGAAGCTACAGCGGCAGCCAGAGGCTGTGGGTTCCTCTTGGCCCTTTGCAGGCAGGGGTGAGGGAAGTCCCTGTTATTTGGCCCCTGTCTGGTAGTGTGGATGGGAGGGAGTTAGTGTGTGCTGGTGAGGGTCCACCGCTGGATGCTGAAGCGGTCACTGTAAGTTCTCTGGCTCCCTCCCTGTAGCTCTAAGACTGAGGTGTCACTTCAGGTTGATTTCTTGCCCAAAGGCCCCTGCTGGAAGGTCATAAAGGAGGTTAGCACCTGACCTGCTGTGTATAGAAAGTCAGACCTTGAGTAGCCTCTCAGCCCTGGGGCCTGAAGAGTAGTGTTCACCACTGTGACCTCCCCTTCAGCCCTGACTCTGTAGTCACAGCATGGGGACTTCTGACTCTGGGGAGGCCTTTTAGTCTCCTCTCAGAATGGCAGGCATTGTTGCTGTTTCCTTGTGCTGCTAGAATCAAACCCAGGACCTGGGGTACGTGAGACAGAGACGCGCTCTGGCTACATCTTGACTCCTGTTCGGTCCCCCCCCCTCACCCCAGAGATAGCTCATTGTGTAGCCCAGGTTAGACCTACATTCTTGGTCACCCATTGAGGCCTTTTTCATGCTGTGCTTACAGATGTGTGCAACCCGGCCAAGGCGAGTAACTGTTTCTGATGCCCACACGAAAGTAGATAAGGATTGTAAAGTGAGTCAGCAGCATTGAAACACGGGTGTTAAAACGGTTTTTAAAAGGAACCTGTGATGAAGAAGAATGTGTGTTCCTTATCATAGAGCAGACAGCAGGATCCGTTCATAGATAAATGGCGGACGCCACTACATACTTTCAAGGATGTTTAGCTGTTTGCAAGGGCAGGGGTAGGAAGGAAAGTCCCCGACTCCTGCTCCTAATAGTCACCCACATGGTGACATCTCTGCAGCTCGTGTGCCATACACTTCTGCACTGATGGAAGAGAGTGCTGGGCTTCCCATCCAAGTTCTGCCCTGCACCCAAGCTGCTGCTTCTCCTCCAACTTTTGTCACGTCAGGAAGTCTCCTGCCCGCCTCCTGTGCCCGAGCCTTGCCCATGTGCCCGAGCCTTGCCCATGTGCCCGAGCCTTGCCCATGTGCCCGAGCCTTGCCTTGCCCATGTGCCCAAGCCTTGCCCATGTGCCCGAGCCTTGCCCATGTGCCTTTAGTGCAAAGTGGGAGGGTTGTCAAGCTGCCAGTGTTATGGGACATTTGCTAAAGTACAGATGGGGAAGAATTGAAGCACGGGTGGGTGGTTGATTGACTTAGAGCTCATCACCTAGTGACTAGAAGCATCCAGGTCACATTCACCTCTAACTACCCAAAATGGCCATACATGAGCTACAAGATAAATCTTAGAAATGTCAGAAGATGTGTGGCATACAGGTCATTTTTCTTAGCACAGTACAACCGAGTCACGGCTGTGGTAGTAATGAGCAGCTGAAGTTCAGCAGATTTGGAAATTTAAAAACGTTTTTAAGTGACTCCAAAGTCAAAAGCAGCTGGAGTCGAATGATGATGAAAACATGACATATCAGATTTCATAGAACATCAAAATTAATAATTAGATGGAAATATGTCGATGCAAATCCTGAGGAGAAAGGCAAGGAATGGGATGGTAGTGTGTGCCTGTAGGTCCAGCACTCGGGACGCAGGGCAGGAGGGTCAGGGTACCAAACCAGCCAGGACTGTACAGCAGAATGCTGTCTCAGTAGAGTAAACAAGAAAAGGAAAAGAGGGGCAGAAAAAGAAAAGGCTTCGCCGGGCGGTGGTGGCACACACCTTTAATCTCAGCACTGGGAGGCTGAGGCAGGCGGATCTCTGTGAGTTCGAGGCCAGCCTGGTCTACAGAGAGAGATCCAGGAAAGGTGCAAAGCTACACAGAGAAACCCTGTCTCGAAAAACCAAAAAAAAAAAAAAAAAAAAAAAAAAAAAAAAAAAAAAAAAAAGAAAAGAAAAGAAAAGGCTTCATAGCCAGTGTCAAAGGTGATAAAAACTAACATGCTTTTTCTCTCCCCATCAGCCCCCTCAAAAAGGGAAGATTAAATAAAACTATGAAAATGTAAAATAATGAGCCAGAGATGAAACACTCAGCAGGAAGGACAAACAAAGCTCTAAAGTTTCTTTTTGTAATAAAACTAATAATATGACAAACTTCTCAAAGACTGGATTAAAAGAGAACATCTTTAAAACATAGGCCGTGAAGAATAAAGGAAATATGAATGCAGAAAACACCAATCATGCAATGCTGGCAATATTAACAATTTTAGGTCATTAGATATAAAAAATTGGGGGAAGTGAAGACAATCTCAGGAAAATATGACTTCCTGAAACACACGAGAGGAACAGAAAGCAGGAAAAGCCTGGCACCCTTCAGCAGGTGGAGTCAAGCAGCTAAAACTTCGCTCCTAAGTAGAGGGGTGGGGTGTGGGTCACTTTAAGAGTTTTAAGGAAATTCAGAAATCTTTTAGGAACAGAAAACTCCACAGTTTATAAAATAGCATATTTTATAAATATTTTATAAAGGATATTCTCCCTAAACCAAGCATGATGGCTCACGCCTTTAATCCCAGTACTCCAGAGGCAGAAGCAGGCAGATCTCTGTGAGTTCAAGGCCAGCCTGGTCTGCAGAGAGGGTTCCAGGACAGCTGGAACTACCTAGAAAAACCCTGTTTGTCTCAAAAAAATCAAAACCAACCAACGAATTAACCAAACAAAAAAACACAACCTAAAACTAAAAATGATGCCGTTATCTCGAACAACTCTCTACATAGAATATAATACATTTATCAGATAGACTCTATGTATATGGTGATCCAACATTGGTTACCCTAGATTAATTTCAAGAAAATTTTGGTGTGCAGCAGTAAAGAAGACCTAAATAAAATGAAAATTATATCCCCGTGGGAAGGAGATACCTCAAAAATCACAAAGACACCGATTGTGCGGATTCATCATAGTGTCAGTGAAGCCCTACACTCACAGGGTTGGGAACTGGAGACACGAAACCCAGGAGCACACTGAGATGATATTTTCTATACTCCTTGATTGCCAACAATAAAATCCTTAGGTAATGCTCCAGTTAAGTAGGATGGTAAGACAATATGCTACACGTCTTTGAAAACAATTTTCTAACTCTTTTTTTTTTTTTTTTTTTTTTTTTTTGGTTTTTCAAGACAGGGTTTCTCTGTGCAGCTTTTTGCGCCTTTCCTGGAACTCACTTGGTAGCCCAGGCTGACCTCGAACTCACAGAGATCCGCCTGGCTCTGCCTCCCGAGTGCTGGGATTAAAGGCATGCGCCACCACCGCCCGGCGACAATTTTCTAACTCTTGATAAAGCTGAATATCAGCAGGTCCCACGACACAGCCACTCTCCCGGATGCAGTCCAAGGGACTCTTGCCTGGGCATTCAGAGATATGGGAAAGGATGCTTACAAAACCTGGCTTGTAATGCAAAGAAGACCTCACCTCAAAAGAATGACAAAAATCCAACAGTGGAAGAGTGGATGGACTGGAACGGCATGCAGCTATAAAAATGGCCACGTGACAGCCGTATAGGACATGGAGGGCCAATCTCAGAAACAGAAAATGGTGTCAGAAAACAACGAAGTGCAGAAGATGACAGATGATCCCATTGTCAGGAAACACGGAAGTGAACAAGCTGGCAGCAGAGAGTCCAGAAACTTCTTTGATTCACTGAACTGTGTGTGTTTGGGGGCGGGGGGTTATATAGGGACTGGTAGACTCTGATCTGGAGAGAGGAGTGGGGTTGAGAGAGGAGACAGAGAAGGCAAACAAGAACATGGGCTGCTGAAGTGATGTTCAAGTCCTTCAGCTGCACAGTGGGTGCCCTGCCATGTTACTGTGCTTCCCCAAGGGGAAGGTTACTGTTTCCTGACAGGGCCTGGAACGTCATCATTGGCTTTGGGCAACTTAGCACCCCACTTCACTTGCAAAAATTTGACCGAAGTCTGGCTTTGGTTAACTATTCGGTGTAACATATACATGGCAAGTTTGTATGTATTCAAGATTGCATACTTCAAATTAAATAATTAAAATAATATTAGGACAAGCGTCAAGGTTATGTGACAGTAATGTAAATGGTTCCATCCACTCCAGCAAGAAGCACTGGCTGCTTTGAAAGTTCCCACGAGAGTCTAGGGCAGGACCTTAGGGGTGGGACAAGTCCCTAGCATGCAGGAGGCCCTGGGCCCATTCCCCAGACACACAGAAAAAAGAAGTTTCCACAAGATTTGATTCATGAATCCCATTTGAAGAAAACCAGCTTAAAGAAGGAACTGAACTGCTGGTTATGATGGAGTGTTGTGTAGCAATGTCTTGAAGGTTGAAACATGTAGCTGAAGTTTTTTCCGGTCCTGCCCAGCCCCACAGACCCCACAGCCGCTTATAAAATAATCACTCAGAAGCTTATATTAATTAAAACTGCTGGGCCATTAGCTCAGGCCTACCACTGACTAGCTCTTACATTTAAACTCAGACCATTTCTGTTAATCTATATGCTGCCAAATGTTCCATGGCTTTACCTGTATGCCATCACATGCTGCTCCCTGGATGGTGGGCTGGCCTCTCCTCACTCAGCTTTCTTCTTACTACAATTCTCCTTACCTGCTTATCCTGCCTATACTTCCTGCCTGGCTACTGGCCAATCAGCATGTTATTAAACTAGTGTACAAAAGCATTATCCCACAGCATTTCCCCAACAGAATTTTCCATCCTGCACAGGAAGACAAACCACTCAAAATAGCTTTAGGAAGTCCCTGAAACTGACCAGATTCACTAGGCCCCTCCCAGCCAGAGTAAGTAAGAAAAGCTGAGAGTCCCTCTCAAATTAATGAAGCTGAGCTGTAAAAAAGACTCTGAGCTGCCTGGAAGAAGATGTTTTGTGGTGATATTTTATTTGTACTGAAATGTGATT